AATTTTATTGTAATGATCGCGATCTTTTGAACTGCACCAACAACGCTACGTTGTTTGTGCGCGTTATCTACAAAGGTCAATGAAATGCATACGCGGCGGCGGCAGTAAATATTGATTACTAAACCAATTTGCTTGAAATTCATAATAATTTCACTTGATTGTATTATTGCAAAACAAGTTTAGATCACTTTAACGATTGAGAGGCAATGTACTATGTATTTATGTATTTTTTTTTTGTATTCGCATCGCTAAGTTCTTGAATTGTTAAATTTAGTGCTATAAATTTACTACTTGTGGCGAGACGTGGCCATTTATGCATCATTTAAAACCATTGCGCTCAGAGGTGGTGAAGCTATATTCAAGTAAAAATAATCGAAATACATAAATACTATAATTAAAGTAACATTTCAGTGCAAATTTTACTTGCGGTGATTCTAAACTAAGCTCAACCATAACATAAAAATTAATATAAAATATTTCGCGCTGAGACATTTTACTAAATGTTTGGCTGACATAATAAAGAAATGACACCTCCAATCGGCAGATGGATTTTGTGAGAAAAATTTTCATTGGAACTTTTCTCATTGCCTGGCAAAGGGCAATCGCTTTGGACAGAAAAAAACTGTAGTAGTACGCATTTCTAAACACTTCAGACGACAACCGAAGGTCTGCAATTTATCGATTATTCTTCCTATTGTTTGGCGCTGTAATCGCCTAAGCGATTTTGGCCGAGTACAACAAAGCACCCCAAGTGACAAGTCCTTCTCTACCTGGTCTTTCCATCGCAAAGAAGGTCTTTCCTCTGCTACCAGCATCGTGATCCGCATTGTAGCATTGTGCAGCTGCAGAGTTTATGTATATTCCAATGACATGGTCAGGCCGGCGGAGCCGCTGTTCTTTATTCCTATGCTCCATGTCGATGTCGTTGTAAAGCTCATTCAGCTCATCGTTCCATCGTCTGCGGACCTCGCCGTCGCCAACGCGTAAAGACCCTCCTTCTCTCGAACACCCCAAGAGCCGCTTTATCAGGAGGATTTTAGGGCGCTTTAAACTTGAAAAAAGGCAAGTACCCGCGAATGTATCAAATTCAGACATCGCGGGACAAAAGCAACGCCCCGAGCTATGGGAAGTGGCTTTGTAATCGACAAAGTGACGGTGTGTGTCGATCCTATTCTCGCGGGGTTTTTCCAATATTTGGCGTATGGTGAGTACCTGGTCTATGGTGGGTTTGCCAAGTCTAAAACCACACTGATAAGGTCAAATCAGTTCGTTCTCGGTGGGCTTCAGCCTTTCATACAAGAGGGGCTCGGTACGACCATGTAACCGTTAGTTGCCGCGTATGGCGGGGTCGACTTTCTTGTGGTTTGGGTACAGCACATTTTAATTTCTGTTGTAAGGAATGCGTTTATCTGGCCATATTCTGCATAAGAGTTGATGCATGCACCTTATCAGCCGTACTTGAATAGCTCGGCTGGCAGGCCGTCAGCTCCAGTAGCTCCATGGTAACATTGGTCACTAGGTCGCCATGGATGTTCTTAAACGAGCTCGGTTTGGCATTCGAACCTTCCATAAGTCACTTAACTCTTTGGTAAAATTTGCGCGCATTTTTGTTCTTACCCAGCATTTCGAGCTCCTTTTTTGTGGCAAATAAGCGAGATGTGGAAGAATCTCGCTTTGATGCGGACTGTGGCAGCTGGCCTTGCCTTGCCCCGTCTTCTATGGCAGTGATGTCAGCCTTTGTCTTTCCGAGGACATCAACCAGCTGGGCAGAGGCACCTTTCCCATTCCAGGTGCAATACTGGCCACTCCCTTGTGAATGACAGTCAGAAGCTTTCCCCATTTATTTGGACTTCTGCGCTGGGAACCATCCTATCCCATTCTAGAAAATTAACCCCTCTTTCTTAGGATTCCCAAACGGTCATGAAGAGTATCGTACTGTAAACTGAAAAGGAGCACGTGTCTAATACTCTACACTCTACAGCGTTGTAAATAATCCGACAAGTATCTCGTAGTTTAGTGTAGTATAAAACTATAATATTTTAAAATCGATTTTCTTAATATTTAAGACTTTGTAGGTGATTTTTTCTTTAATTTTTCTTAATATTTAAGGCTTTGTAGGTAATTTTTTCACAGCTACGAGCATGGGCGTAGCCAGGTAGGGGCACGGGGGTGCTCGAGGACCCCCTAACTTTCAAATTTTCCTTATATATATATAAAATAGTACCCTGAAATGCCAGCTTAATAGGGTCGAGCCTCCCCCTAAATTTCATTCTGGCTACGCCGATGGCTACGAGTGAATTTTTTTAATGACTAATGGTCAGTCAATAATCGTTGTTACCAAATCAACGCAGACTGCGGTCAGCTAACAGCCTCATTGACAAGCAAGTGCTTTATTTCAGTTGAAAACCCTTTTAGTAAAATCAATATTTGTTTAAAGCCACATTTCGTTGTTGCTTATATGTACGTTAAGTGGAAAATTTATTTCTAAAAAACTAACATGCGTATGCGCACCTTTGGTTTCCTCATATATGTAAATAGTATTTTTCTACGACTCATACAGATTTCCTGGTAAATCATTACAAAATTAGAGTTTATGATGTTTGATGATTCAGATTTTGCGGGAAGACGATTTGTATTTTATTGATGTTATTAGTTCTAAAATATACAATGTTCTTTTTCGCAGTCTAAACATTTGAGTTTCATGTGCGAAGCTGCACATGATGAATGTACAGTGACTCAAGCAAGTGTTCACATGCTATTTTTTTTTTTTTAATATTCATAAATTTTTTCAAGTCAAATTATAATTTCTTTTTATAATAATATGGGTTATGTTTTAACCAAGGCCAAAGTTTAAAATTTTATACAAAATTTATAAAAAAATAAATTTTCATTTCAAACTTTTTAATCTGAATCTGTTTCAAAAAATCAACGTAGGTTTTTATAAATTGCACTTCTTGTATGACAAAAAACGCAAAAGACCGGCGGAAAACAATTTTAAAAATGAACGCGAATTTTCAGCTGCTTGAAATTTGCAGTTTGTTATACAAAAAATTTATTAGTTAAGTACTAGCAGTGGACCCGACATTGTTTGGGGAGCGCATATAAAAATCTGCAAGACGTAATATTTATTAATATTGTAGAAAGTGCTGAAGAAATTAAGCTTGAGATAGCCACATAAATTATCGTATTTTTCGTATCGTATTTACAAACCGTTTCTCTTTATATGTAAATATAGATAAAACTGCATACCCAAAAGTTTCAAAAAAATTTATATAAGGATAGTTCAAAATTTTGATGTAAATTTGTTTAAATTTTCTAAAGTTTGTATAAATTTTGTAACTTTTATTTAGAGATATGGTTTTTGTCAAAGCATAAACAATAGTTTTATAGAAAACTATAATAAAATTTCACTTGCAAAATATCTGAATAAATATTAAAAAACAAATCAGTATGGGATAGAGATATGGTTTTTGTCAAAGCATAAACAATAGTTTTATAAAAAAATATAATGAAATTTCACTTGCAAAAATATCTGAATAAATACTAAAAAACAAATCAGCATGGGAACACTTGTTTAAATCACTGTACGTACTTACATATCTATGTATACATATATTCTTATGTACTATACTACTTGTACATAAGCATATTAAAGAACAAATCCGCCAAAATTAAGATACCAACAAAGTAGCGCATGTGCTTTCCTTTTGATATAGTTTCAAATATTGCAGAATAAACATTTATGAACAAAAAAAAAAAAAAATATTTGTTGAGTTTGATATTCAGCGCATTTACTCATATTTACTTTATGGGCAGCAAACATAAAACAGAATATGAAAAGCAAAGTTGAAGACACGCAGAAATGGTTCATTCTGCGTGCAGATTCTTTAATTTATTTGCTATTGTCAAGAACACATGTTGAGCGAAAATAAGAAAGGCGAAAAAAGGATTCTTAGAATTCATTAAAAAATCTGGCGCTTAATTA